AGTTTGGCCAGGACCCTATGGCAATCCTCCTGCCTCAGCCTCCCAAGTGCCGGGAATGCAGCGATGAGCCACCAGACTTCATTAACCTAGGGGCTCTTAGGAGGATTTCCAGTTCCTTTCTTCAGAATAGTGGTCACCCGTGGTTCAGATACTGTAGCCAAGTCATGGGCTGTAGTGTTTGGTCAGATCCAGGGACAGGGACCCTCCTAAGAGGAAGAGTAAAGAACAAACCAGCGAGGGAAGATGAGCCTGTAAGAGTCTTTGGCAGCAGGAAATAAGACCAAAGGATGGACAGAGGGTACCCTTACAACAGGTGTCTGACTTTGCTTAAGACACTGATTTTATTAGACTGGGGTCGATGAAACACCAAAAAAGTTGCAAGAGAACTGCATTTTAGTTGAGGCTGTGGACTACAATTACAGTGGATTGAGAAACCCAACTGCTGTTGGTGCATTTGTGGAATCACCTAACTTTCCCCTTTGTAAACAAGCTAGCACATATTTACTACAGAAAATATAGAAAACCATATACAAGAGTCCTCTATATCATGGTTAGTAACTGTCAACATTTTGGTGACTAGAAATATAATCTTTAAAAACATCTGCACATAGGAGTAAGAATGACATCCACACAATTGAGGCATGCAACATTTTATGTCTTTGAAAAACTCGATATGATGAGTTGCTAAGGTTCATTAGAAATTATTTGAAAATAGGCCTGGGGAGGTGGCCTAGTTGCTAAAGAGCTTGCTGGCAAACATGAATTCGAACCCCGAACACCCACATAAATGGCCAGGTGCAGCAGCGTGGCTGTCATTCCAGCACTCTGTGCTTGTGTGTGGACAGGCAGATCCAGGTTCTCAGTCAGGTTCGCTGGAATGGCGAGGGTCTAGGTTTAGTGAGAGCATGTCTCAAAAATCGTGATAGAGAGCAATTGAGAAAGACATCTGGCATTAACATCTGGCCACCAGACATGAAAGTACAGTGAGTGTTCCTGTACTTGCATGCAGAAGCGCGTGCGTGCGTGTGTGCGTGTGTGTGTGTGTGTGTGTGCACGTGAGTGCGTGCATGTGTGTACGTGCACACGCACGCATCAGAAGAAATTACTTGAAGACAGTGCTTTTTTAAAAACAGTTGTACAATATTTTTTAATATACTTGAGTGTCTCAGAATTGAATTATTTCTTGATCATTGAGCTATTTGGGTCACTTTCAAGTTTTTGTTATAAATTTGATTGCAGTTTTCATCTTTCTACTTCTTTCTGTTAATTTGGATAGAATCCTAAAACTAGAATGATTGTTCAAAGGGCAGGAAAATTTTCGGCTGTCTTGTTGCATACTGCCAAACTGCTTTTCAGTACGGTCACCCTCATGTCCCAGGTGTGTAAGAATCTTAGGACCCTCCCCACCCACCCCACCTGCTCAAGGCCATAGACCATTTCTTTATTCCCCATATTGTCTCTAACATACGCTCTTTTCCATGTCAAAGGGAAAAAATGCACAAAATATGAAGTTTTGGTATTACCTGTAACAGCAAAAAGCTAGCTTCTATACTTAGTTGTTTAGCAATAGGGATATGATTAAGTAAGTCATACTGCAATCCATTCATATTCTGAATCCATCAAAAACTGTGTTGATGAACAAGTGGAGTAGTCATAACATTTCCATATTGTGTCAGCTGCCCCCTTCCCACAGACTCGATGAGCTGTGTGACTTACTGCGTTAGGCCATCTGAGGACACCCCCCCCTATTCGTGCTCACACACACACACACACACACACACACACACACACACAGTTCAATCTGGAAGTTGTAAGCAGAGTTTTGCTCCAATCCTTTCCCTTTGGTGCTTGGTGGTCCCATGCTGTCGATCCATGTGGCTGGGAAGTCCCTCAACAGAAGTAAAGTTCTGGAGAAAGAGGCCTTTCTCTCCAGCTGCTGTCTTGAGGAAGAAGCAGACCTTGGTAAATCCTGCAGGCTGAAAAGGGGAACTTCGAAAGAGTGTTCTTGGACACTGGGCTGCCCAGCTGGCCCGGAGACAGTCAGCTTTGTTCTCCCAGGCAGCTGACATTACACTGGGCGCGGTGGCACAGGAGTGTTATGCTAGCAAGCGCTAGGGAGGTTGAGGCGGGAGCACCAAAAATTAGAGGCAGCCTGGACTGCATTCAGTGAGCCAGAGCTGCTTGGGAAGACCCCGCTCTGGGTGAAGTGGGGAGAGATTTCCCTGGAGTAGCAAGGGCCCTGTGGCCTCTGGATTTTCTGCTTCCAGAGCTGTGCTGGCATCCAGGGAATTTGCCTAGGTTGTGGGGTGGGGTGGGGTGGTGTCTCCCTTGTCCTCACCTGAACGTTCTGTGTCTATCCATGCACAGTGGCTTGGTCCCCCTACTCAAGGCCCCTGCTCCCAGGTTCACTGTCCCTCTGTCCTTCTACCCCTGACCCCGCATGTCCGGGATGACTCCCGAAAGCATCTCCTAACCCTTGGCTTTTTCATTTCTCTGGATTCAAACTTGCTCCGCTTCAGAGACCGGAGCTGGAGAACACCTCTAAGTGGGTGATGTCACTTTGTTCAGGGTGCCCCTCCCCCACCCCTCCTCTGCCTTCACTTCTGCTACTCAGCTCGCTTCCTTTTCAAAACTTCTTCTTCCTACTTTTTTTTTTTTTTTTTTTTGGTCCTTTTCTCATTTCTTCTTCCTTTTTAGCTACGCTGCTGCGTCGTTCTGTCTCGGCTGTTTCTGCTGTCGTCTTTATTCTTCTGACCCTGCATTCCCTAAGAGTAGCCATGAGATCTGACCCGCTGCAGCTTCTGTCCCTCTTGGGAACCTGGCCAGCACGTGCCTGAACCATGGGGTTCGCCGGTATCTGCCTGTACGCGAGTGAATGTATGTGGCACTTGCTTCGTTGGGGACCCTCTCAGTGCCACAGGCTCATTGGAGTGGGAGAGAATGCACCACCCCACAAACCAGCACTTGTAGAGCAAGTCTCACCTGGAAATGTGTCCCGATGCTTCATGGGACTTGTCTCCTCTGGGCTTGGAAAGCTAGGGTAGTAGCTTTTCCGAGTCAGGGTTGGCTTACGGGGTATCTTCTTCAGCCATCTCGCACTTTCTCTTGGCTGCAGGGCTTTGGCTGGGTCCACTGTGACCCCTGCTCTGTTGAAGTAGTCAGGGCTCAGTGGTTGGCTTTGGGAATCTGCAGGGGACATGATGCTTTGTAGCCCTGTAGGACTCCGTCCAACTTCCTCACAGTGCATGAGTCCAGGCCAGGTGTCTTGGCGGTTTCTCTCTGGGGGGTTGGGGACCTTCACCCTTTCCTTCAGGCTCTTAGAGTTCATTCTGGAGAGATGAAGTAGCCAGGACAGGTGGCTTTTCTCACACTGCCAGAGGCCCTGTTCTAGAGTCAGGGAAGGTGCTAGGGCCTCGGGACTTGCTGTTTCTACTTTCTGTTCTTTCCCAGCCCTGGACTGAGGTGAGTCAAGCCAGGTGAGGCTTATCTAGGTCCTGAGATAAAGCTTTCTTCGCCCTCCTCCTCAGTCCCCTCCCGCTCCCATGCAGGGTGATGTGAGCAGAGTCAGGAATGCATAATGCTGATCTGCACAATCAAATTTGTGGGCATTTGGTAGCTGTAGGAATCCAACTCAGGTTGTCGTGGCAAAGTACCACAGCCTGAGAGCTTAAACAACGGTAATGTATTCTCTCACCGTCCGGGGGCCAGAGGTAGAGGATGAAGGGGTGTTTCAGGTCTTTCTCCTTCGATAGGTGGCTGTCTTCTCCCTAGGTCTTTCGTTGTCTTGTTTCTGGAACCTTTGGGTCCCAAATGTCATCTTCAAAGATATGGTTTCATAATGGACCAGGGCCCCTTACGGCATGCTAAATATTTCTTTAAAGACTCTGTCTGTAGCTGGGCATGGTTGCACATAACTATAACCTCAGCACTTAGCAGGCTATGGTATCAGGATTGAGAGTCTGAGGATAGCCTGGGATAGCCTGGGCTGTACAGAGTGAGACGCTGTTCCAAAACAAAAACCAAAACACAAAAAGCCAAAACCCTGTTCCAAAATCCACTCATATTTTGAGATATGGAGGTTAGGACTTCGACACGTGATTTTTTTGTTTGTTTGTTTTCAAGACAGGGTTTCTCTGTGTAGCTTTAGAGCCTGTGCTGAAACTCACTCTGTAGACCAGGCTGGCCTTGAACTCACAGAGATCTGCCTGCTTCTGTCTCCCAAGTGCTGGGATTAAAAGCATGTGCCACTATCACCCAGCAGCATATGACTTCTCACAGGGCATAGTTGAGTCACTACAGCAAGCAGAGGGCCATCAGCAGCAAGGAGGACTAAGGGGCATGGCTTTGCCAACAGGCTCTGGGGACCCATCATAGTGGCATTTAATCCCTCGATACTCAGCTACTTTATGCCTAAATTCCTGGCCAAATGTTGTTGAGGCATCTTCCTTGAGAGTATCTCCATGTGTAAAACGAGTAACCAACTACTTCCTGAAGCTTTGTACAGAGTAATGACTACTTTTATACCTCCAATTTAACTCACAGCCAGAGGCCCAGTAAGGTGTGGTACCATGATTATTCCCACTTCCCAGATGTGGAACCTGAGGCCTAGAATGACTAGGAAGTAACCCGTGGTGATCAGGAAGAATACTGACTAAATTTAGGCTCTTGAAGCACACATACACACAGTGCATAGCCAAGCTTCGATCCTCTAGGGATATAGAGTGTCTGACTCCATGCACGGCACATAGTAGGGCCTCAGGGAAATTAGCTGAGTCAGTTCTAATGGGTTTCATTTACAGTCATCAAAAATGACAGTTCAGAGTTGGTAGGTGTCCCCAGGGTCTGATGGGGTAGTCATTGGGGCCCTAGGGAAGGAAGCTGGTGTCGAGGAGCCCAGCATGTCACAGAGGTGTGTCTAACCAGGGACAGGTGAGGCTCGTGGGGCCCCTCCGAGCCCACTTTAACCTCCCGCTCACCGGCCTCTCCCTCGTGTTGTGCAGGGTGATGTGATCAGAGCCCAGGAATGCCTTATGTGGATCGGCAGAACCGAATCTGTGGGTTTCTGGATATCGAGGACAATGAGAACACTGGCAAGTTCCTTCGGAGATACTTTATCCTGGACACGCAGGCCAACTGCCTCCTCTGGTACATGGACAATCCCCAGGTGAGAAGCCAGCCAGGAAGGGGCAGGGCAGACGGCTGCCGCCCCCTTCTGGGAGGAGCACAGGGGTCGGGTTTCTTTCCAGGGTTTTGCGTCTGAAGGTGATTGAATGGAGTGAGAGACACCCCAACACATATCTACATGCACGCCCACAAAGAGAACCCTCTCTAGAGCTGGCCGTGTGGCTCAGTGGTGTGCACACTTAGCACGTACAAGAATCTTGATTTAATCCAGAGTATGGGGCATTAGGCTGGGGGAGAGGAGAGAGAGGGGGAGACAGTTGAGGAGCACATCTGGGGGAGACAGGGTTTTCTGGCCCTAGATCTGTGCTGTTCTCACACACGGGAATTTAACACTTGGTGAAAGTGAGGCAGAGCTTCCCAGTGTCCGGATGTGACTCCCTCCCTTCCTCTCCCTCTCAGGGCTGTGGCCTGGTGACAACTCCTGCTCTTCCAGCCTGGGGCTCCTCCCCGCAGAGAATGCGATCTGGTCCCCTGAGCTGGTTGATATTAGGCCTCTTTGGCCTCCTGAATCAGGAAGTCATGGAGTCTTGGGCTGGCAGTAGTGACCTTCTAGGTCCCCTAGTGTCTTTCTCATGCTACCGAGGAGAAAACTGAATCCTGGACTATCTACCCTAGGCGAGGAGAAGTGACCAACTTATCTCTCTCTCTCTCTCTCTCTCTCTCTCTCTCTCTCTCTCTCTCTCTCTCTCTCTCTCTCTCTCTCTCTCTCTCTCTCTCATTCTCGCTCTCTCTCTCTCTCTTTTCAGACAGGGACGTAGATATAGAGGTAGCCCTGTCTGGCCTGGAATTCACTATGTAGACAGGCTGGCCTCAAAGTCACGAGATCCACCTGCTTCTTCCTCTGAGTGCTGAGATTAAAGATGTGCGCCACCATGCCTGCCCTGACCACAGAGCACCTGCCCTCATTCTGAAGGCAGCCTGCCCAGTGTTGAATAAAAAAGGCTATGGCAGAGCTGGGGCTGTAAGCCTGTCAATCTGACTGCTGCACCCCTGCCATTGCTGCTCACAATAGGACAGTTTATCTTGGGGTGGCTTTGAGAAGGAGAAAAGCCTGTAAATCAAGTTTCTGGCTAAGAAAGAGAGTGGAGGACACAGCCTGGGGGGTTGCAGAGGGCAGAACTTATGTGCTCAAGCTGATCTACAGTGTCTGGAGTTGAATGAACATGGACTTCCTGCAGAATGGAAGCCAGGTAGTGAATGAGGATGTCAGAGGTGTTTAATGTTGCTCTCCTGGAAGCAGGGGCAGAACCTGAATCCAGTACAACCTACAGCCTGGGCTCCCTGGGAATGCTGACTTGTGCTTGTGGAGGGTCACTTTGAGAACTGTGCTTGGGTGATTATTTATGTGGTATGATAATGATTTAATAAGCATTAGTGAAGGTATTGGATGAAGATTACCATACATGGGATAGGGATGCCGTAGGTATTTTTATTGGGGAGAAATCACTTACATGAGAAATTGATAACCCAGGGTTCAGCGCTCCAAGCATCCTGTCTCCACTGCTCTCCAAGACGTGACTGGAACTGAGAGAGAGTGAGGGAGGGAGAGATCACCTCCTCCTCCTCAGGCCTATGCCCCACATGCCCCATATGCACCTGTGGCCACGCCCAAATAGGCGTGGTCAGCGCCACAGGTACCTAGCAAGATCTCTCCCTTCAAAGTTAATTCGTTAATAACAACTTATTCATCAATGAATAAGTTAATTCATTACTAAGGTGTCTCTGATCATCGCCTGTTTGAACCTCTGAGTTATCTGATGTTGATGAGCCTGTCTCTGCCACTGTCGCCTCCATTGCTGTTGCCACTACCTCAGTCTGTTTATTGAGGTATCACCATACACTAGCCATCATGTGTGGGGTTTGCGTATCTCATTAAATATTCTAACTAATCCTGAGCCCTTGGGACTGGAATCCATTCCTGTTAACCAGGATGGAAATGTAGAGGTGGGGGAGAGTATGTGTGAAGCTGGATTCTTCCTGTTCTCTCTCTCTCTCTCTCTCTCTCTCTCTCTCTCTCTCTCTCTCTCTCTCTCTCTCTCTCTCCTCTCTCTCTGTCTCTGTCTCTCTCTCTCTCTCTCCCCTCTCTCCTCCCCCTTCTGATAGTTTGCTAGCTCCTGTAGATGATGGGCAAAGTGACTTCAATAATGTCTCTGCCTCTAGGAAGCTTCAAGTTGATGAAATAGAAATAACAGGCCTAGGGGCTGGAGAGATGATTCCATGGTTAAGAACACTGGCTGCTCTTGCAAAGGACCTGGGTTCAATTCCCAGCATCCACAAGGCAGCTCACAAGTATTTGTAACTCCAGGATCTGACACCGTCACACAGACATACATGTAGGCAAAACACCATCTGCTGGTGGGATGCGCAAAGGGATGGCAGGGGGAAGGAATGGACATAGCATGGATGGACTAGGTACAGTATTTCCAGTCAGATGTGGGTGACCCTAAACCGAGAATGAAACCCAATAGCTAAAATGGCCTTACTATGTGGAAAGTACCAATGTTATTGATTAGGCCACTGTATTGACTAATGTATTTAAAAGTCAGTGTGCTGGCTGGCAAACAAATAATTCTTTTGTTATTGCAGTAGTCATCCTTAGCATGAAGTTTACTCTTTTAGGAAATTTCTAAACTCATAGTACCATACTGTCAAGTATAGGTAGAGAATAATAGCATAGAACTTGCAGTATAGCAAATCTCCCTAAAATCCAGTCATCTTGCCTACCAGCAATAGTTTTCTGTTGTAGTTTTTTATGTTTTCAGCGCTGGGGGTTGAGCCGTGCGTCTCATTCACGGTAGGCAGCCGCTCTTCCACTGACCACGTTTTATTTATTTTGAGACAGGGTCTTGCTAAATTGCCCAGGCAGGACTCAATTTGTGATTCTCTTGCCTCAGCTCCTCGAGTAGAGTTCCTGGATTATAGGCATGTGCCCGTCTGTCACCTTGCTTGGCAATGACTTTTTACATATTGTCTAAATTTCCTTCAAGTTATGATACTAGCAAGTGTGTGAGTGTGTGAGTGTGTGTGTGTGTGTACATGCACACAGGCATGTTGGTAATGCTAATTATTAAACCTAGAACTTCACATGTGTTGGGTAAATACTGTACCACTGAGCTACACTCTCAAACCCTGGCAGCTATACTTTTAAATGAGCGTTGGTCCCTATCATGGTTGAGAAGATGAAATACTTAATTGGGGCTCCTCTACTCTGTAGTAACCTTTTGAATGATGACCTAGGTTTCAACTGCCCACCCACACTGATGTTTAGCCCCGTCAGTGCCCGCCCACATGGCTACTTGCAAGACTAAATTATACAGCTGTGAAGAGAGCAAACCATAGCATGGAAATGATATGACATTTGATGAGGGCTCTTGTTACGATTACTCAGTATAGTGTATTTTTTTTCTTGTCCAAAAATATTATTTTGGTACACTTCTTTTTCACAGGCCGTCCTGTGAATTGTGGATCATCATGATATCCCAAAAGCTTGCTTGTTTCCTAGTAAATCTGGGACCCAAGTAAAAGATCTTTGCTCTGTACAAACAAACACACACACACACACACACACACACACACACACACACACAAACCAAAGACTGAAAGTGGTCTTTCTACTGACCAGACAAAGAGCACCAACAATGTTCACAGCAAGATGGATACTGGGCTCATTTCAGTGGAGAGAGTACAGTGTGAGGGGACAGTCTACTAATATGAACTTCATAATGTTATGATGGATAACTATATTGTCACCTTAAAGGCTGAGTGAAAACAGTGTTTTGAGAGTGATGTTTTCATGTCAGAAACCTCCTTTGGCAAAGTTTGTGGTCTATCAATACTTAAAAGGCTTCCACATTGCCAGCTTCAGCCTGTCCAAATGCCAAGGGCCAGGAAGTAACTTCATTGAAAACTGGGCAACACATGCAGCTGGTGCAAACTTAGGTTCGAAAAGTGGATGTGGTGACGACAGCTCTGTGTCCTGCCCCTGCCCTCCAGCCGTAGCCTCCAAAGCCACAGAGAAACCCTGACTCAACCCTCCCCAAAATACCCCACTGATATATTATGTATGTGTGCACATGACAGTGTACATGTTGCTGTGTACATGAGGAGGCCAAAGTGTAATTTGTGGGAGTTGGTTCTTTCCCCCATGTGACTTGTCAAACAGCACCACACCAAGTATGTGCTTGTGTCTTGTTTAAATTTCAAATGAATCAAATAATATTTAGTATTATATATCCCCATATATAATTCAGATTGATAACCAAGGGATTATAGATAAGTAATGATGACCCTAGGGAGACAGGAGTATTGCTTGCTTATAAAAGAGGAGCCATGGTGATATAGACGAATATGCTACTTATGTCAGACAAATGTAAGAAAAGAAATGTGATAACAAAGACTATGTTAAGCCAGGCGGTGGTGGCACTCGCCTTTAATCTCAGCAGGGGCAGGGATTTCTGTGAGTTCAAGGGCAGCCTGGTCTACAGAGTGAGTTCCGGGATGACCAGGGATGCACAGAGAAACCCTGTCTCAAAAACAAACAAAAGACCACCGGTGAGAAGTAGATGTCTCCTGACTCTGGCAGTGAGCATCTGACCAAGCACCTGCCTGCCTGATACAGTGTTGTCTTCTGTTAAATGAAAAGAAATCAAGAAACAAAAATAAAAAGCATTGCTAGGTAGTATCTTCAAGGATGGCTTGGGACATCTGTAATGTGTTGGGGCCTGGAAAGTAGGAGGTGCGTAGTAAGTGTTAATTAAAAATATGAGTAGCACATGATCTGCCAGTTGTTTCCTGGATGTCTGGTGATTGCTTTCGGACTTCATTTCTTGGGGACCTGTTAGATTCTTTGGTGTGCCAGGAAGTTATAAGCCGGTAGAGTTATCCCTGTTAGGAGACTGTGGAGGCAAAGCACTTAAACTCAAGCATTCCCACGCTGCATCTTGCTAACCCTTAAATAACAGATAAATGAGGCCAGAAGTC